ACTTTTTCCCACCTCTACGGTAGATTAGAGGTGGTGGTGTCCACACCCACCGACTCCCCCACCCCCGTTGGGGTGGGGGGGTATTTTGGGGGAGTTGATGTCCACCTATTTTTAACATGGCTGACATTGAGAAACACTGCTTTAGCAGTTTGGGGGAGGAAAAGATTAGACTGCCCCTTGAGTTAATCTAGCAGGATTTTCCTTAAGCTTCTAACAGCAAGAGATGCTGAATGGTCAACAATAATACAGCTGAGGTATTGAGAAGAGGCGCCTGCAATTGACGTCAGTGGAACTGGTTATATATTGATCTCAACCCCCCTTCCAAAGACCCCAGATGATTTCTACATTCTATGCATCACCCTGTGAGCTGGAGTAAGAAAAAGCCGGGGGGGGTGCGAAATGCCCTTCCTAAGCAGTGGAAAAAGTCAGTGGGAAATGTGCTGCAGTTTTGCTTGCCAAGCCCAGCCCAGCCCAGCCCAGCCCAGCCCAGCCCAGCCCAGCCCTTCCACTCTTGATCTGGATCCAAGATCGGGTTTATGGGTTAAGCTCAGCTGTGGTCCCAAGTCCATTGTGCTGCTAGCTCTGCAGAAGAGGCCCTTCAAGATGCCCCCGTGCTCAGAGGTTGGTCTTTCTAGCAGGAAGTAGAAAGCTTACTCCCACTTTGCTTTCAGGCTAGAGAATCCCTACCTTAGGACTTAGTCTCTACTTACTTAGCTCCCGAGAGAGTAGGAGAAAGTTCTGCAAACACATGCCTTCCACTAAGCCTTTGTTTATTCACTGGTTACTTTTTAGGCATTCATCCCCTTGAGTCCTCACTAGAGTCAAAAGGCAGGAAATATCTGGACTAAGTTCTCACTTCCCATTATGCTATCACATTTCTCACTTGCTCTTGAACTGGCACGTTGCATAATGCCCGCTACAAAGGAATCAGGAGGCCTCCCCGAGGCAACAGAGATTGCTGGGAACCGTGACTCTCTGGCTGTTGTCAAACTCTGACTCCCAGCAGTGCTAAAAGTACAGCTTCAATAACTTTGGAAGAGCCAGAAGTTGCTCCAACCTGCCCAAGGCTGGCAACCGCAGCTAACTTCCACTTCCCATCCAGATGGCACAGATAGAAGCCTAACCACCTCACCTGCAGATCCTCTTTGTTCGAAAGACAGACCCAGGCAGCTTTGCCACTTCTAAAGCAGCTGTCCCGCTCACCTCCCTCAGCCCAGCCTTGATCGATTTCTTACACACAAGTCCCAAGACACTTGATCAGTCAAAAAAAAAAGACATGCTTTTATTTCTACAAGATGGATGGCGTGGTCTGGGGTGCAAATACAGACATTCCACCTAGCCCTCCCTGTGAACTTGTGCCAAATATCTCAGGCCTGCCTCACCAAACAAGTTTGGCTTGGAGACAAGCCATCATCCAGGCAAAATTCACAAGCAAAGCAGAGGAACGTCAGCTGAGCACAGCCAGAGCTGGCAGGAGGCAAGCCAAGGCTTACAGGTAACGGAGCAGGTCCTTCTCCATCCCCTGCAGAGGAAGAGATGAGAGAAAACAACAGGGGGATGAGATGGTTGCATCTGGGCAGGTTTGCACACTAATATTAGCAGCCATTGGATCAAAAACCGCCTTCTAGCAGTCACGCTTGGGGGTGGGGGGTTCACATTTGCCCAGCATGCTAAACCATGCTTTACTTTATTAAATGAAGCACAATTAGCTTGGTTTGCATCACATATCAGACCATCAATTGTTCTTTTCCAAATTAGTGCCAGCTGGGTTGGGGCTGCAACTGGTAGCATTCTCCAACATCCAGATTGGGAACAGCTGCTATAAACCATGGTTTACAACCCACCCTGGCTGGGTTTGGCATGGTGTGTGAACTGCCTAGCTCAGGGTTATGGCCAGATACTCAGGCTGAACTCCACGCTGGTCCAGCTCTGCAACTGGACAATGCCCTAAACTGAATTGTAATATAGTTCAATGAATCACAGTCCCCTGAGATGGTGTTTCAGAGCAGACCAGGAGAGCCTTCACTAACAGTTAAGGACAGCGAGAGTCAAAAAAAAAAAAAAAAAAGCAAGATGGTGGCCACGCAATTGAAGCCCTGCCCACTTTCCACATGTGATGCCTTCTGGACATTTTTCATGATGCCCATTTTCTCTGAAGGATAGCCTAGATTTAACCCAAAACAAATACCCCCTGACAGAGGCTTTCATCACACTTCAGGCCACAGTAGCCTTGGGTGGGGAGCATGAAGAGTTCTTAAATAAATGGCTTTACTTTACTGGCAGTCTTTAAGCAGGAACTTTTATGTAGTCTCTTAACTCAAGGCAATAATACACAACTTACAAATGGGTCATCCATTGGACTGAATCTCTTGACCACCTGTCCTTCCCTGTTGATCAGGAACTGCAGGAAGAAAAGGAGAGCTGGTGACCCACAAGAGAGCCTGATTTTCACTGGGGCAGGAAGACAGCATTGATTCACAAGTTACCGTAAGCCCACCTTCCAACTCTGGGGCTGGATTGATGCTTAGCACCACAGTGTAACGTGGTTCAGGCTTCCCAGGATTGTGTGTACCCTATTAACAAATTCTGCCCTTACTCTCAGACCCATCGATCTTTATGAGCAGAAAGTAAACTCAGTACAGGTATGTTTCTTCAAGGCTGGGAAGTGCTGGAGAAAAGGAAGATACTAACCCAGTAAGTGATTCGAAAACACTTTTTATTTGGTTGGCCAGCTTAGGAAAGAAGCAAGACACAACCAGCATTGGGGGTGAAGGGTGACTAGGAGTGGGGAGACCCAGGTTCTAGTTTTTCCTCAGCCACCAGGGGGACTTTGGGCCAGTTCCTCCTCCTCAGCCCACCCTACCCCACTGGGTGATTGTTGGGAGAAAAATAGGAGGAACCACTAGGCATACTGCCCTGCGCTATGCTCCTGAACAAAAAGGCAGTGATATAAATCCAAGTCATAAATAAATAAATAAAAATACAAGTGGAAGGGAAGGGGGCAGGGCCAAATCTGTGATTTGCCAAAGAGGAAGAACAGAGTTTCACTCACAGCCCTAAAACTTGCTCAACAGCACTTGTAGGCCAGCCACTTTAAGGCCAAGAACACCTGGAATTTGCAGCTGAGGAGGAGGGTGATGGGTTGTGCCTGGATCATTTTTGAAAAAGGATACATGTTTAAACATAGAATGTATGTTCTCACACACCTGGAGAAGGAGAGTGGGCCAGTGGTGGGCCCCACCCCAACAGAAAAATGTATTCAGAACAACTGCTTTTCAAAAGGGGCCGTCCAACCTCACCGGAAGGATTCCTGGCTCATATTGGCCCTGTTTTGGGCAGCCCCCAGGGAGAATACCAAGACAAGCATTGGAACATCACCCTTTTCCCCTGAAATCACACTCTGCCCTCACATCTGCCTTTTCAATCAATGAGGCAGATGCTGACAAGGAATTCTGGAACATGTTGCTGCAGCATATCCAGTGGGCTCCATACTGCTGAGGGAGGCAATTCTGCCCGAAAAGGGGAAACAGCCAGAGTTGCTATATCAGAAGTTACCATCCAAATACCTGTTGGAAGGACACAGTCAGAGGGGCTCCTTTCAAGAGTTGAAGATACTCACCTTGCTAAAATTCCATTTTATAGCGCTAGGGGGAAAGAAAGAACAGAGCATCATTTAGTTCTAAAGGTCTTAATTTGTTTAGGTCTTTTAGTTCTACAGTTAACTCAAAACCTTATTGCTAAACCATGCTAAGACTGAGATGAATACTGCATGAGATCTCTTGCTAGTATCTCTCTCCAGTAAGATGTTTGAAAATGGGGTCAAAATCATACAAACACAAAGCCCCACTTATCTGATTTGTATCCAATTTTTCCTCCCCAAGACAGAAACTATTTTTTGAAAGCAGGATTGGAATCTGACACAGCAAAATGCCATAGCAAAAGTTCTACAATCAGCGCCTCCCAGAAGTGCTGGTGCTGAACACCATAACTTCAGCCAGCACAGCTTTCTTAAGAGTTTAAAGCCAGCTGGGAAAAGCAGGAATAAAAAAAAAAAACCCTACAGAAGGGGAGAGAAAAAGAGCAATTTCGGAAACTGGGTACCACGCCATCACTAAATCCTCAAATAGTTTACAACGGTGTTTTTCAAACTTGGCAACTGTGTGGACTTCAACTCCCAGAATTCCCCAACCTGCATGGTGGCTAGGGAATTCTGGGAGTTGAAATCCACACATCTTAAAGCTGCCAAGTTGGCAGAACACTGGTTTAGAACTTCATTTTAATTTTTTTAAAAGCTGAAATCCCACAATACCCACAGTCATATGGGCTGCCTAGAGTTGTGACTGAAGCAGTCTGAGTTTAATTAAGCATGGGAGTAAATAGTTAAATATGTGTAGTATATGAGCCATGCCCGTTTCAGAGATTTTTCAGAGTTGGAGGTAGCAAAAACTCACTTTCCTAGAGTGCCTCTCCCTTTGGGCTGGCTCTTCATCCACTTCCAGAGAGGATGAGCACCATCCCCATTGACATCAATCTTGCTAAACATGTCGAATTTTACTCCATAACCTTCAGCAAATGCTTTAATCTCTTCATTTGTACCTGGCTCCTATATATAAAAAAAAGAGAGAGACAGATGGTTGCCTTAGAAGGATAACAGTGTCATCACTGTAGTTCTTAGCATTTGTCCTGCTTGGTTGCAGATCCACATTTTTGCAATGTGCTCGCCCAGTGTTTACAGTGAATCTATCAATGCATGATGCAATGAGGGTGTCTTTTTTTTTTTTAAATCTGCCAGCTTATCACAAAGCCCTTGGTCATTTCTCCACTCCTAGTCCAGCATCTTCCCCGTTATACCACACTGGCTCTCCCTGTCTGAAGACTAGAACCTGGGTCTCCCCACCCCTAGTGCAGCCCCTTCCCCGCTACACCTGATTGGCTCTCGGGCTAAGAGGGAAGGATTGGCCCAAAGTCAGCCAATGAGCTTCTGCGGCTGAAGGGAGACTAGAACCTGGGTCCCTGCGTTCCAAGTCCAGGACTTTCCCTACTACACTACGCTGGCTCTCCTTAGAAGGATAATTAAGAATAAGAAAGGATTATTTCATTGAGGTACTATCCCCCCCCCCCCCAACAGCCCACTATCCCGCTTCCTACCTGCTTGCCAAACTGGTTGCAGGGGAAAGCTAGAATGCGTAAACCTCGCTCAGCATATCTACTATACAATTCGACAAACTGAGTGTAGTTTACATTAGTCTTGCCTCATTCCGATGCAATGTTGGTGATGATGCAGACGTGACCCCTGGAGAAACAAAAAAGGGACAGGGGACAAAGGAGACGATTACTCGGACGTGCTGCCTGAAATTCCATGCATGCTGACTGGGGTTTAAACCTTGCTTCCGAGGATCATACATAATTTTCCCACTGACTGCGCCCCCCCAAACTATCTATTTCCCATGTGCTCCAAACCCTCGCTACAGCTTTCCCAAGATTCTTGCATCACCAATGCCCCGCCCCCCAATCACTCCACCTCTGAGGCAGGTCTAGGAAACTGGAGCCCGCACTCAAGACAGTCCTGTGTGCACCTGCCAGGCTTTATCGCCAGGCAGGCGGACACTGTCAATCCTAGGGTGCCCAGGCCCTGCAAATCTTCCCTGCCATGTTGTAGGTGCACCCCAATATCTCAAACAGGCTGGCCTGGAGAGAGGAACCAGGAGACAAGTTCAGTTTAGCTTGCTTTGCCCTTCTTCTGGGAATGGGGGGTTAACTGGACCCAGAATGGGGCCTGTGAGCATCTAACCTACCCCACAAGGCTGTCACACAAATAAAGTATCCAGAGGGAAAGCGCGAGCAAGCACACACACACCCCGACTATACATATCTATTGAACAATCTGTGGCTCAGAAAAGAGCATTTCTTAGGGCCATGCAAAGCATTTCCTGTTCATGCCTGAGCTGTTTCTAGCACAAATTGATTCCCAGAGGACTAGAACTGCCCATTTCAGCTACAGGGTACCTGTTTTGAACTCGGAGCAGGGCAATCTGAAATTCATTTCTGCTGTCCTGCTGGGTTCTTGGGAAAAGATGGGTTATTTAGGAGCTGGGACAATCTAGCTATTCTTCCAAAAGCAGTTGAAAAAAACAACAAGCAGACAAATGCTGCTGGCTTGCAGATGAAATGCAATCCAGAACTCAACCTGGCAAGAAACGGCTGAGGCTACCCAATCTGCAACAGAGGCCGCCGTTGTCATCATCATCATCTATTAAATGTATATGCTGCCCGACTCTCAGTGACTCTGGGCGGTTTACAAATTGTTAAAAACATTTAAAAACAAAGAACCCCAAAACAACACAAAAGAAACAGGGAAGGCAGAGAAAACAAACCCAGATGGGAACAACTCGCCTGTATTTCTCCAGCGAGACATCATTGCCATCAATATCCTTGGCATGGAACTCATAAATGGACTTGGCTGACTGCCAGTCAGTCACCTGAGCACACTGGCGGGGAGAGGAAAAAGAAAAGTGATTGAGAGCACGTCCCCCCGAGAACAAACTGCAACTGAGGGCCTCTGAGAGGTCTCCAGGTATGTTGGCACTGCAGCTCCCAGAATTCCTAGCCAACACAATGCCTAGGGAATTCTGGGAGTTGCAATTACAAAACATCAGAAGGACGGTCAGTTAAGGCAAGCTGATTTAAGCAGGAGTGTTGAGGCCCCAAATTCTCAACCAGAAGGCTGGGCTCACATTTTATGCCAAGCCCAAAACAAACCACTTTTAAAACAAACCATAATTTAGCATCATATACAAACTGTTAAGTTCAAGGGTCAACACTGCCCCCCCACAAAGGGCCCACTTGATACTGTTGCTTTAAGGCAGTTTCTCAACCTTGGCAAGTTTAAGATGTGTGGATTTCAACTCCCAGAATTCCCCAGCCATACTGCTTTACCATGCAGAGCCTTCTGTAGATTAGGCTCACACAAGACAATTTATTTCACATGAGAAGTTTATAAGCTAGGTTGCTGTTAGTTTCAGTATGAAAATGACCCCCACTAAACAGAGGAACAGGAAACACAGTTAATTTGAAAGAATAAGAGTCTTTACTTCTTCAGGGGGACTTCAACAAAAAGGATGGAAAATACTCCCCCAAAGTAAAATACTGAGATAATAAAGAAGTGCTATGAACAATACTAAGCCTTTAAATGTTAAATCTAATCCCACAAAAATACAGATGTCTTACCCTGGTGAGCACAGCTGTGGATTTTAGAAGCAGCAACTGAACATTTCTTTCTGTGTCTCTCCTAGAGTGTGTGCAGGTTAGGGTTATAATAATTTTGTCTTTTTTTGTTAGATTGACACATGTCATTAGCAAGATCTACATGGAGAGATAGCAGGGGCAGGATACCTGCTGGGAACACATTTCCCTTCTAGAGACTTATCTTAGGAGGCTTGCAGAGACATTGCAAGACATTGACATTGTTCAGAGACATCAAAACACTGGCATCTCAGCTCTGGCGCTTGCGACCAAGATGGCTTATGAATTGCTCTCTTTGTGTGCCCCACGTCTGACCCAACTAGAAAAGGCTGATAAATTGTCCTTTTCCAATATGTATCCTGACAGAACCTGGTAAGTCATGCAATCAATTTTTCAGTTGGACTTCCGTCTGTATCTTTGCCCTGGGAGTGTTCGGTTAAGAAGCTGCAGGTGAATGTTTCTAAGAACGGATACCATGGCTGGCTTCACAGATGACATTAAGCCTATGTTATAATTGGATTGGGTGTTGTGGATGGGGAGATCACAAAAACCTTCCTGAGTTTTCAAGCATACCGCCTGGTACTATTATAAGGTGTGCCAGCCACAGCGCCAGCTTTTAAAAATAATTAGGATGTCTCCTGTTTCAGAGACTAAGATGTGTCGAGTCACGTCATTAGCAGAGCTTTCATTCCCCAGCAAATTTTATTATAAGGCAGAGTTTTCAAGCATACCGCCTGGTACTATTAAAAGGTGTGCCAGCCACAGCGCCAGCTTTTAAAAATAATTAGGATGTCTCCTGTTTCAGAGACTAAGATGTGTCGAGTCACGTCATTAGCAGAGCTTTCATTCCCCAGCAAATTTTATTATAAGGCATAGGCTTTCGCGAGCTACAGCTCCCTTTATCAGATGCATGGAGGAGCTAAACTGATGTAGGATTTACATTGGGTTGAGGCTGGGGGGTGGCAGATGGGAAAGAGAGGGAGGTTATGCAGATTATAATTATTCTTTTTAATAAATAAATTATTAATCTTATTAACCTCTCAGCAAACAGAAACATCACAGGT